TGGCCAAGGGAGAATCCTGTGCCCATGGACTTAGGTCTGGGTGACTGGCAGAAAATAAGAAACTGAATTCTTGATGAGTTCAGTGAGCTGCTCTTTGACTGAGACTACACAGAGTTGGACACCAGCTGTTTTGGTGGAGTAAGTGCAAGTGGTATTTGAGAGACAGCCACAGAATCCATTGTAATTGTACCTTTAGATACATAAGGGAATGGAGTATTTATTTAAATTATAATATAAATTTTAAAAAGAATTTCAGTCATACCCTTTTTGATTGAGACTAGTATCTCTAAGAGATACCTTCTTAGAGATATTCCAGCATTATTCACAATGGCCAATTTAAACAACCCATGTCTGTCAGTAGTCAATGTGCACACATAAACACACACAGGAATGTTATTCAGAAAATGAAAAAGGTGGCAAGACTTAGAATAAGACAAAGAATATGAGGTAGGATCATAAAATATGGTTAATGTATACATAAAAAATTTATTACAGTGAAAGACACACTGCCATTAATCCCCTCACAATATTGTCACTCCAGACACACTTATCCCATCATTCTTGACACTTTTGAAGCAGTTCTGGAAGTCTTCTTTCCTGAGTGTCTTCATGGGGTGTGATTTAAAAAATATGGTGAATGCTGCTGCCAAGGGCCATCCAACAGAAAGGAAGACTTGTAAAAATATTATGGTAGGTCCTTGTCCTTGTCTACCTATTCGACAGATTTGGCACCATGCGACTTCGGGGGTTTCCTCAAACTCAAAATGGCCATGAAAGGTAAACATTTTGAATTGATTCAGGACATCGAGGCAGCCATGACAGCTTAAGTAAAAAGACTCACAGAAGAGGGCTTCTAGAACTGCTTTGGAAAAGTGACAAGAATGATGGCATAAGTGTTTTCAAAGAAAAGGAAAGTTTTTTTTTTTAAGGTGGGAATTAATGGCAACATGTCTTTTACTATAATTTTTAAAATTTAAACATTCTCTGTATTTTTTAATCATACCTTGTATCTGTTTTACCCTTTTGCTTCATTCTCTTTTTCCTCTTGTATGTAGATTCTTTTTCTGAACAATTCAAGAATACCATGGGCCTGTGCCCCTAAATATTTAAGTATGTATTTCCTGAGAATAAGGATATTTTCTGCCAGTGCTTATTTAATCAGTTTCCGGGAGGTTTTTTTTTTTTTTTCATTTTTTTGGTACCAGGGATCGAACTCAGGTCCTTGCACTTGGGAAGCAGGCGGTGGAACCACTGAGCTAAATCCCCAGCCCAGTTTCAGGGAGTTTTAATGTTGCTGTTACCTACAGTTTATTTATTTTTTATTTTTTAATTTTTTTGGATCCCAAAAATGGAGCATAAATTCTTTATTTCTTAGGTCAGTTTTGCTGGTTATATTTATACTTTCTGATAGTGCTTCTGATGATGATATTTTGTGTTGTTGGTACTGGGGATTGAACTCAGGACCTTGAACTTCTGAGGCAGGCACAGCGCCACTGAGCTAAATCTCCAGCCCTCTGATGATGATATTGTTTAATGTTATCACAACTATATTCTCATCATTAGTTGAAATGTTGGGGCAAGTTTTTTCTTGTTCTTGAACACACAAATGCATGCAAACATGGAGGCCTCAGTGTCTTATGACAAGTTACCATCATTTTCACTATTCTATTTTTTATCAAACGAGTCACCACATACAACTCACACTTTTTCAGTTCCTGACGCTAAAGACAACCATAGTTAACAAAAGGAAAGATATTGTCGAAGTATTCTTTTTGAAGAAAATAGTTTAGTAATCAGCTTTAAATATTTCATGTGTAGAATCTTTGGTGAGTCAGTTTACATAGAATGCAACTATGTTGCAGTGTTAATGAGGCCAAGGTCATGAGGGCCTAAGTTCAAACCAGTCAGTGTGGTATTCTGTGGTTATAAAAGGTACCCAGTGTCCCACACAGCCTTTTATGCAAATACTAGTTATCATTTGGGCTGGAGAGAGATTGCAACGGGAGGAGTAGGATGACTCTCAGTATACATTTATGATGTAAAAGCCATGGAAATAAGATTTTTTTAAGTAAAGTTGAGTGGGTAGCATGATCAGTCACGGGGACTGACAGTGCATTAATCAGCCCTCTTGTGTGAAAAATGAGTCTAGAGAGTATGATTTCTGAGGGTAATCATAGTTTGGGGATTGTATAGCTTAGGCAGCACAACTGTCCACCTGAGCATTTCTTTCTGTACCACATTCTCAGCACATTGTTTTTTTTTTTTTTTTGGTCTGTTACCTACAGTTTAAAAGATACACCCAAAACTATTCTTTATGAATGAAATCAGTATCTCTAAGAGATATTTGACTTGCATGTTTGTTTCATCATATTCACAGTCACTAAAATACTGAAACAGTCTTAAGTTTGTATCTTCAGATGAGTGGTCTCTCTCACACATGTACATACCCTGGAATATTCAGCTCCAGAAAGGAAGAGCTCTTGCCATTTACACTAACATTTAGAACATTATGCTTAAGTAAGATAAGCCAGGCACAGAACAACAGCACATGCTCTCACTTCTATGTGAAATCTACAAAAGTAGAATTTTTGCAGGCAGAGAATAGAATTGTGATTACCAGACGCAGGAAGGTGGGGAAATGAGATATTGATGAAAGGGTACACTTACATAGAGTGAATAAGTTCTAGAAATGTAATATACAACCTGAGGGCAGTAGTTATTAATAATTGTATATATTGTATATCAGAATTTGTATATCAGAATTTGCTAAGGAGTAGTTCTTAAAGTTTTCTCTCTTTTTGGTACTGGGATCAAACTCGGGACCTTGCGAGGCAGGCGGTGGAACCACTGAGTTAAATCCCCAGCCCTAAAGTTTTCTTACCACACCAAAAACTGGTAACTGTAGAGAGGTAAATGTATTCATTAGCTTGACTATAATAATCAGTTCATTATGTATATCAGAACATCACACTGCCTACTTTTAATATAATCAATTTTTAATCCTTTATGGCATTGTTCTTCAGTATGAGATCCTATCTGGGATCAGGTTTTATGTTTAGTTGTCATACCCCTTTAAGCTATACCACTTTCATAGTTTATATTTTATGACAGTGTGTGTGTGTGTGTGTAGTGCTGGAGAATGAATGCACACTGAGCTACATCCCTGGCCTTTTAAAATTTTGAGACAGAATGTCACTAAGTTGGCCAAGCTGGACACAAACTTTTGATCTCATGCCACATCCTCCCAGAGTGTTGGGGGTTACAGGCATGTGCCATCATGCTTGGCCGATACAGACATTTTTGAAGAATACAGCGTACCCCCATTAAAAAAAGCTTATTGGCAAGGTCCTGAGTTCGATCCCTGGTACCAAAAAATAATAATAATTTAAAAAAACTTATTGGTACCTGTTGCTGAGAAAAAGAAAGTTGAACTGCTGAGGCTACAGATCCTGAGGGCCTGAGGGCTTTGGAAGAGTGGATGTCAGGTACAGAGTGAAAACAGTGGCAGCTGGGGCTTTGGTAGAAAATGAACATAGTTTCTTAGATCCAGGGAAAGTTATGGCTTGGTACTTTCTTATAAAGTACTCTGTGGTACTTTGCATGCCACCTTCCTCTGAGAAAGGTAAGGAGAATGGTTGCACTCTGATCTGCAAACTGCTTTCTAGAGGACATCCTCAGCTCCTGCAGCAAGGTGCCCCAGGGCCATTTCCTTGAGATAGCACTTTATAGTAGCTGGATGTTGATTTGTCAACAGAATTAATCTCTGAATCAGAGTTGAGTATTGTGCCTAGGCATGAAATAGACTTTATACTTAAGACTTCTTGTTAGATTAGACAGAACACCTTAATTGTATTTTGTACAATGGTTATAAATATAACATGCCCGGAAGGGCCAGAAGTCTGGTCAGGAAACAAAAAGCTGGATTCTCTGTCCAGTTTCACAGGGTGATAGCAATGAATACTTCAAAGCAGCCTAAGGGAGAAAATTCTGCCTGAGGGACACTACATTCTGCTGACCATCCAGAATGCTGGTGGTGGACTTCTACAGAAATTTAAAACCCTAGCCCTCTGTTCTGATTATGAATTTTTTAAAAATCCAATTTTTATTTTGTAATATGACAAAATAAAAATATAGAAAAATATATGAAATATGGAAGAGTGCTTAGCATGAAAAAATTTTCATTTCACAGAATGGAATACTTGAATTTATCTAGGATATTTATAGTTTCAAAGATACATGTCTAAATAGTTGGTCAGTGTCCAGTTGTGGTAGATTGTTAGTTGAGTAAAACACCATGTGTTCATCGTCTTGATAAATGACATAATTAGTGCAGGTGTTCACATCTTTCCTGTGGTGTAGGCACAGTGCTGAACGATGTCATTATTTTTTCAATAATTAAAATTTATGAAGACTATATATTTACATGCTTATATATATTTTATGTATTATAGTCTTGTATATACATATTTAACAAGACATCATATTATACAGGTTTTAAAACCATATTTTGGATACTGTTCTATGTCAGTATAGATACACATTATAGTCTTAAAAGATTTAAAATATTTCATTAGCTATACATTATTTAGCTGATTTTCTACTAATAGGTTTTAAAGTTCTTGTTTTTAGATAATAATGCAGCCGCATGTACTCATGTACTTATATCTTTGTATAGTTTTCTGATTCTTTAAGACACATTTCCAAGTGTAGAACTTCTGGGTCAGGTATAGAATGCTTGTCTTTTTTTTTTTTTGGTACCGGGGATCAAACTTGGGACCTTGTGCTTGAGAGGCGGGCACCAGAACCACTGAGCTAAATCTCTGGCCCAAATGCTTCACTTTTAAAACAATCCTCTTAGATTAGGTGAAAAGTTAAAATATCTATAGGAAGAGTTTCAAAAAGCCTCTGGAAATGATATTCTGATGTTTCTCTTGTTTCTGTGCTTTCTTTTGTTTTAACCCCGCATGGTTGTGTAATGGTATTCTTTTTCCCTTTTGTAGTAAGCTGTGCTAGAACAAAAATGCAATGAAAGAAACACTGGATGAATGAAAAGCCCTGCTTTGCAACCCCTCAGCATGGCAGGCCTGCAGCTCATGACCCCTGCTTCCTCACCAATGGGTCCTTTCTTTGGACTGCCATGGCAACAAGAAGCAATTCATGATAACATTTATACGCCAAGAAAATATCAGGTACTAATGAAAACACTAATACCGGAGCATTTTTTGCTAAAATGGAGTAATTTAGCATATAGTTGACATGACTTATAAAACTCATTTACTCTTCCAAGCCTCCCTCTTCTGATTAATTTTGTCATTCAAAACACTTGTTCTTAATAGTCCTTTTCTAACATCTGCTGGGTAATTGATTTGTTAGTTCTGTTTGTGAAGTTTCTTACTTGTTTTCTCTTCTATAAGCTCACTCTTCTTTAATATCCATTTGGGTGTGTCTGTGCTAATGAGCTGGGTAAGAATTGAGATTGTTTTGAAAATATTCAACCATGAACTGGCAGAACTACAATTATTATAAGTTTAGTCATTCATATTATTTTACAGAAATAATTCTGGGCAAAAATAATTCTTAAATGAAGAAATTATAAGGCCATTTCAGCATGTATTTACAGTACAGCTATATGTAGCAAGCATTTTATTTCTGTGATTATTATTCTTATATAAAGTTACAGAAAGTTTTTCATTTTTTTGGCAAAGCTCTTGGAGGAAGATTTTAGAAAATAGTGAAATTTCCTGGTTTAAAATAGAATTCAATTTTCTAAATTTTGTACTTAGGACAGAGTATATAATCTTTTTTTCCATCATATTTCTAGGTTGAACTGCTCGAAGCAGCTCTGGATCATAATACCATCGTCTGTTTAAACACTGGCTCAGGGAAGACATTTATTGCAGTACTACTCACTAAAGAGCTGTCCTATCAGATCAGGGGAGACTTCAGCCCAAATGGAAAGAGGACTGTGTTCTTGGTCAACTCTGGTAATAAAAAATTATTTCATCAGTTGTGTGGAGGAAATTGGATGAAGTGTTATGTTTAAGCAGATTGTCTCAGTGGATATTAAGTTAAATTATTGAAAGTGAAGAGAGTTGGACAAATATAGTAATCAGCTTTTTGAAGCTCTGTTAGCAGAAGTATCATTTTGTTTATAGTATTTCTTTCAGTTGCTCTAATTCTGCATTTCTTTTGAATGAATTACTTTTTTTGTTTTGTTTTGTTTTGTTTGTTTTTTTTGGTACTGGGGATTGAACTTGGGTTCTTGCGCTTGCGCAGCAGGCGGTGAAACCACTGAGCTAAATCCCCAGCCATGAATGAATTACTTTTAATCTAAGTTAGTTATTTTTATTCTTGATATTTTAGCTTCACCCAAAGTATGTGCTTGATTATGAGGTGCATACTTTTTTTTTTTTTTTTTTGGTACCAGGGATCGAACTCGGGTCCTTGCACTTGAGCAGCAGGCAGTGAAACCACTGAGCTAAATCCCCGGCCCCTTGGTGCATACTTTTTGATTTAGAATTTTGTGAAAGAAAATTATATGCTTCTTTTAAATAGGTTATTGAGTAAGAGTTTAAAGTACAGATTTTTGTATGTTTGGGATTGTACATAATAAACAAATTGTGCACCTAAGCTTAAGGGTCCTTATATAACCATGTCACTCCTTCCCCTTTTTGTAGATTGTAGCATAACTATGTACATTAAAACATATGAGGTGGTCTCATTTCTTGGTGAACGAATCGGATTTTACTGAGGGAAGCCGGAGGGGTGGATCTGGTGTGGCTGCCATTCCAACCCGGAAGGGATACTCTTAGATTAGAAGAAACCAACTGGGAAGAAGAAAGATGGTGTAAGATTCTTTGGAGTGAGTGACAGGCCAAGTGGCAAATCTTGTAAGTGCATTTTGGAGGATGACTTTGAAACTTTGATTTTAAATTGGCTATTTAAAAAGCTAGTGGTTAGGTGTAAGAGCTGTAAGGGCTTTCATAACTGTCTCAGTCATTAGTTGTCCAAAGACCCAACTAGGCAAGACTTCTCATATTTACACAGAGTATTCTATTGTAATCAGCGAACCAGGTTGCTCAACAAGTGTCAGCTGTCAGAACTCATTCAGATCTCAAGGTTGGGGAATACTCAGACCTAGAAGTGAATGCATCTTGGACAAAAGAGAGATGGAACCAAGAATTTACTATGCACCAGGTAAGACTTGTAGAGAAATCTCACTTTATAAATCCTACAAGTCCTTGACTTGGTTGGTGAGATGGCCTGTAGCCTTGATTATCTGAGTTAGGTTAAGCAACTCTTACTTTCCTGCTCTTTCTCAGCCTAAAGACTAGCCCTATGTGCTCTTTCTTGTTTGACTGTCAAGTAAATTACTAATTTGTGTTGCTTTTAATCTGTAGGAAAAAACCCAACATTCATGGTTATTTACTTACTTGAAAAACAAATTCCTATGACTGTTTCCAACTTGCAGATAATCTGCCTTAAGAAAATTTACTCTTGAGTTAAATATATTGAAACTAGACAAATTTCTTTGCTGACTTCTTTGAATTTTTGGTGCAAATTTCCTCTACCTTCCATTTTTCTATATAGGCAGCATATACTGAAGGTCTTATGTGTGGTCTTGGGAGATACAGAGTGGTGAAGAGCTTCTTCCTACTAACTTTATAAACAGCCTGCGCCCTACTGGTATTTCCCACATATTGGAATACATCCTCAGAAATAAAGCACTTTAATTGACCACAGAATGATAGGCTATAAAAAAAAAAATTAAGTCATCCAGAAAACCTTGCCAGTTCAGTAGAGGGGGGAAGAAGTAAAAGCAGTGAATTGCTTTGTGATTTGACTAAAGGGTCTTATCAGTCAAAATATGGCCTGAAGTAGGTTTGGTAGATTTATTTTTAAAAAATGTTCTCCCTTATCAAGAATTGTTTACTCATAATCTTTTCCCGTGTTCTCCTAATTCTTGGTTCCAATGTATGAACATCTATACCAGTGATGATGAACCTTTTAGAGCTTTCAACAATAGCTAACAGCCCACTCCAGCCTGCATGTTGCAGATTTGCCGCCACTGGTATACATTTAAAATTTAAAAAAAAATTTTTTGACCAATGAATTTCTAAATTCTCACCTATGATATAATGGCTCTATGATCTGATCTCATGTAAATATATACAGCAGATGAATGGCATGTTTGTACTGATGGCAGTTTTGTTTTAGGTTCTCATTATGACTTGCTCTGTTGCCTTGAATGTTTTGAAAAATGGATACTTATCATTATCAGACATTAATCTTCTGGTATTTGATGAGTGTCATCTTGCGATTCTAGACCACCCCTATCGAGAAATTATGAAGGTAAGTTTTTAGACTTTACCTCTTAACAAGTCAAAGTAAATTACAGAGAATGTACAGTTTTCTTTTAAGACATGAAAAACAATAATATTAATTATCAGTATTTGGAACTTGGTTCCAGTGTATGAATGAGTGAACAAATGAATATTAATGTTTATTTAAATCTGTAAGTTTTTAAACATAATGTAAACTGCATATACTAAAATTTTGTAGTGTGTCTAAGTCTGCCTTTGAAAAACTGCTTTTAAAGAAACTTCTGTAATTCTATAATATTATGTCATCCGTGGTATATTGGTGTTTCCACTGAACATAATGCTTTTTAGTGTCTTTCAGTAATTTTGATATGTTTTAATATGGTAGTGTCTGTATTATGACCTTGAAAAATGAAGTGTTTATTGTCAGTATTTTTCATTATGTTAGCTCTGTGAAAATTGTCCATCAAGTCCTCGCATTTTGGGACTAACTGCTTCCATTTTAAATGGGAAATGTGATCCAGAGGAATTAGAAGAAAAGATTCAGAAACTGGAGAAAATTCTTAAGAGTAATGCGGAAACTGCAACTGACCTGGTGGTCTTAGACAGGTAAACAGTTCTGATAGGCATGGCTTGAATAAGACTAGTTGTAACTAATGTTAAGCCTTCAGTTTCTTTTGTTCTTTCTCAAGATACCTCTTTAAGTGAACTATGACTGTTAAGACTTAAGAATTCTTTATAAATACATTACCTGCAGATACAAGCATCCAGTCTTGTTTCAGAGAGCAGCAGACAAGGCCTTTTTACCTTGGCAGATCATATTGCAAATGTCAGGTCCTTCTATTTCCTGATGTTACCTGAGACTAAAGATTTTGATAGTCAGTTTGGGTTTTCTGTCAAAGTGCGTGCCTTGTTACTCTGATCTACATGTTGCATGTGATGCTTTGAAAGAACATTAATTTATTTAGAAAATTTAGCAATATGCTTTAAAATATTTACAAGCGTCTTACTATTAATAGGTTGCATATTTTTGCATATTACTACTAATAGGGTGCGTATTTTGGAGAAAGACACTGTTTATAACTTGTAGGCTTGTCCATGTTTTAGGAAGTTTCAGTTTTGAGTTTCATTAATTTACACATGGACACACACATGTTCACCATGTTACTGATTTGTTTAAGTTGGGCCAAGAGAGCTGGAGCCTACATAAATCAGAAAAAATATGGATCTTTAAGTAAATTATCCAGTTCATGTCAAAATAATCATAACCTTAAGTACTAGATAGTCTTTTAAAAAAGCTAAAGATTACCAAGTGGTGGTTCTTAGGACAGGTATAACAAATAGAGAAGACTGCTGTGGTTAGAGTTGAGTCATACATGGGTTTGATTACTTGCTCCACTAATTCTGAGCCATGTGACCTCAGGTGAGTCACCTCCCTGAACCAAGTGGCATTGGCAGTGGTTTCAGAGGATTCTTTGATGGGCGGTTACATAGATGTGTGGAAAATGCCTTGTAGTGTGCTTAGCAGTCAATAAAAATTTGGGAAATTTTCTTTTTACAGAGAGAAGACAAAATAACATTTTAGCTTCATCCAACTTAAATATCCCAATGCTATATGAAATAAAAATCTTATAACCTTTAGGACATGCTGTTTTTGTTTTCCTGAGTCAACATTAGTTATAATGTAGAAATTAAAAGGCTATTCTTGTGCTTTTCTCTGGCCGAAGTTTATTTTTGTATCCTGTACTAGTGGAAGTTTTTGGGAGAAGTACAGCTATTAGAGCAGTTGAAGAGTTAACTGCTAAGTAATCTTTTGGCTTAAGCATTATCTAGTTGTCTAAATGTGACACTCTAGTTAAGTATAAATTCTAGTTTGGGTTAAAAAAAATGAAAACTATAGTATTAAATATGTCCTCACTATATTTCTTAATTAAAATTACTACATGTGCTTTTAGGATACTACTGTGTGTCTTTCTGGTTGTCATATTTTGTGGAAGGAATGACATCAGGAGTGAGTGAAAGCTGAGGAATTTTCCTTCGGAGGATACATTAAAAATGAAATTAACATTTGCAGATGTTAAAGATTTCAGACAGTATGGAAACAACACAGTATATTTAATGGCAAAGCATCCCCCCTGCTACCACATCCCTGTTTACACTTTTTAGAAATAGTTGTTAATTGAGTTTCTCAAATCTTTTGAACATTTTTGATCTTCATGTTGCCCAAAGCCTAAGGAAGCAAAACTTGGAAATCTAAACCTAAAAAACAAGACAAAAAACCCTGAGATAATATTGAAATTTATCCACACAATTATTATTATTATTTTTTTTGGTACCAGGGATTGAACTCAGGACCTTGCGCTTGTGAGGCAGGCGCCGGAACCACTGAGCTAAATTCCCATCCCTATCCATACATTTCTTTGAACATCAGTCTTATGCAGGTGTTCCTTCTAACCTAACAGGCATGCCTGGCACTGATAAAAGCATCTCTCTAGAAAAACTGTGTGACTCTGCCTGTTGGCCTAAGTGGAAATAGAAACTGAAACGAGTTAGATACACAGAGGATCATAGGTTGTAGTGGGTTTTTACAAAGAGAAGCCAGGTGTTTGGGCAGGCATTGGGGTAGCCGACAGAGGCTTCAGAGGAGGGCAGGGCTGGGTTTTATTAGAATCACTTGCTTTCTTTGAACTTGCATTTCTTTCCTAATCTTCCCTGCGTGAGTATTAAGATAAGGAGTATGTAAGGTTCCCGCCATAATGTTTGCAATGTAGTAGATGCCCAACTTGAACTCTCTTCTTTCCCACTTCCTTTTTCCTTTAGAAAATATCTTACAAATAATTCTTTAATTTTTTATAAAAAAGGTTAAATATTTCCTGTTGAGAAATTTAGAAATACAGAAAGAATAAATACCTAAGATCCCATCCCACTGCTAACACTTTGGAATATTTTCTTAGTATTTTCCTCTTTTCTTTGTTTTTTGAAAAACAGTTTTAATGCATTTTCACCATTGCAATATTAATGACTTTTTTTATTTCTGATCTTAAAGATACACTTCTCAGCCATGTGAGATTGTGGTGGATTGTGGACCGTTTACTGACAGAAGTGGGCTTTATGAAAGACTGCTGATGGAGTTAGAAGAAGCACTTAATTTTATCAATGACTGTAATATATCTGTACATTCAAAAGAAAGAGATTCTACTTTAATTTCTAAACAGGTAAGCATATATAAAGAATAAGTATAATAAAGTTTTTGTTTATTTTTAATGTTGAAATGAAAAGCTAGTTTCTACACATTTTAGTTTAAGGCCTTATCTTTATCTCCTTGGACGTTTTCCATTGAACATGTCGTATTAGATTGAAGGTTAAGTTTACTTGATATTTTTATTTTTAAGTATAGCACTTCCTTATTTAAGGAGATGAGTTACAATTCATGTCATTGTTTTAGTATAAGGAATGAGTCCAGGTTTGGTTTTGTTTTGCTTTTGATCAGGTGAGTTAGTTCCTGCTCAAACCTGTGGACTAAATGAGTGTTCTGTTGTCGTCTGATGTGTAACTGGACATGAGTCCGCTGTCCTTCAGAGGTCCAGGTTGAGAAGAGAATCTTGAGAGCAGTGGTGCTGAGTTGGACCTCATGTTGAGAGCAGCAGCTCCTTACCCCTCAGCTTTTTAGAAATACAAATTATAGGCCCCACCACAGACCTGCCGAGTCAGAAATTCTGGGCTAGGGTCTCCGTAATTGAGTTTTAAGTATTAAAAAACCCTGACTTTTGAGTTTCGTCAGGCTCTTCAGTGCTCCTGACAACTTGGAGCTTGAGAACCACTGCCTGGGTGTTGGCTGCTGCTTTTGGATGTTAGCACTGTCTTGAATGTAGTTCTTCATTTTGCTTATGCTGATTTTTTTCTAGAGTATCAATGCCCAGGTTTTTCTCACCCTTTTCATTCTTGCTGAGTCCATACTATGTCTTCAGCTGGAATGTAGACCAGCAATTTCTGTATCTTAGCTTGGCTGTGGATTTTTATTCTGCTCTCAGCTAGAGTTGTAAAATGTGACATTCTGGGGAAGCTCCAAGATCATAATCTGGATTTAGCTTAAAGATGAGGAGCCCTGCCCTTGTGTTACAGTTTTCATTGAAATAATGCCAGAAGACAGTTGTATAGGTTTCAAACACTAACCTTTATAACTTGAAATACAGTACTGGCTGCAGACAGGCCAAAATTCATTCATAGTTCCTAATCTTTCTCTATTTAATATTTATTATAATGACCCCCCCCATACCCTGCAGTGTATGTATGTATGACCAGGGGATGTTATATGTAAAGTTTAAAGAAAATCATATTGTTCTTTCTGGAAGAGCAAAAATTGCTAAAGTAAAATTGCTCTGCTAACATAGTTCTTTGAATAATTTCGCAGGAAGTAAATGACTCTGTGTAGTTCTCACTAATCACAGATGTAAAATTGAGTCTTATTAGATTTTATTAACCTTGTGCACTTGCATCTTTTCTATTAGATTATTGCTGGGAAAAAAAAGTGATGGTTCTAAGCATAGACGTGTGAAATGGCAGAGACTGAGGAAACCACTGACCCCTGCCCCCCAGTATTAGGGTTCTCTTGGTGGGGCAAATTGATTTTGAAGGGACAGCCTGAAGACACTTACATTCTAGCTATACCCCTTGTGAAAATGCTACACGATTATTGTCTAGTATTTGGCTCCTTCTTATTTTTTTGTAGATTCTATCAGACTGTCGTGCAGTATTGGTAGTTCTGGGACCCTGGTGTGCAGATAAAGTAGCTGGAATGATGGTAAGAGAACTTCAGAAATATATCAAACATGAACAAGAGGAGCTGCACAGGAAATTTTTATTGTTTACAGACACTTTCCTAAGGAAAATACATGCACTATGTGAAGAGCACTTCTCACCTGCCTCACTTGACCTGAAATTTGTAACTCCTAAAGTAATAAAACTGCTTGAAATCTTGCGCAAATATAAACCATATGAGCGACAGCAGTTTGAAAGTGTTGAGTGGTATAATAATAGGAATCAGGATAATTATGTGTCTTGGAGTGATTCTGAGGATGAGGATGAGGATGAAGAAATTGAAGAAAAAGAAAAGCCAGAGACAAATTTTCCTTCTCCATTTACCAATATTTTATGTGGAATTATTTTTGTGGAAAGAAGATACACAGCAGTTGTCCTAAACAGGTAAATCTCTCAGGTTTACATCTGTTTCCGAATAGAACAAAGGCAGCTTTTTGTGCTGTGAAGGGATAGATTGTAACGGTGCAAGAGCCAGCATGATCGGTCAGGGTCCTCCACACAGCCCCACCCATAGTTCATGGGTAATGCTATCTTGGGGTTGGATGTGGGTGTCTGTGTGCTGGGGGTTTTTATAAATATGATAGCTTGCCTGAAGGCTGATTTTGGCATAACTGAGATTTTTGTCTTAAAGGATATAATCTATTCTAAAGAGAAATGGAGAGCAAGTATAAAAATTTACATTTGAAAGATGAATTCCTTATTTTGTATTTAATTTTTATATTCATTTATCAGGCATGGCATTAAGCATTTCTCACCAAGCTTTCTCCTTAGAGTAATTTGTTTTTGTTTTTTTTTTAATTTTTGAGACAGGGTCCTGCTATGTAGCCCAGGCTGGCCTCGAACTCGAGGTCATCCACCTGCCTCAGCCTCCCAAGTGCTGGGATCACAAGCGTGCGCCACTTCGCCCACCCTTAGGGTAATAGGGTAAACTTTATCTGAATATTGTGGTTTTTTCTTGATGCATTGTGATGTTGTGAAGTAGCCCTTTGGTCTTCTTCCTGTTTACTGGCATGCAGCTTTTTAAAATCTTTGGATCTTCAAGGTGATTTGTATGCTAATTAGTCATTTTATGGGTGCCTGACTCTCCACTGCTTCAGGTTGGGGCTGGTTTTAGGAAAGACCATGCAGTGAGGTCGGAGAATTGGGTCTTTTAGCCCCACCCCAGCCCTCCGAGGGCGGAGTGAGTTGGAAGGCTGAGTAGATGCTGGCAATCTTGCCTGTACAGTGAAGTCTGCATAAAAGCCCTAGAGTACAGGGCCTGAGAGCTTCTAGATCCTGAAGGTGTAGAGGTTCCTGGGGGGCGGCACACTTTGAGGTCTGTGTCCCTTCACACATGCCTTGCCCTGAGGGTCTCTTCATCCGTGTCTGTCTGCACTGTTACTTACAGTTAACAGGTGAATGTAAGCGTTCTGAGTTTCATGAGCTGCTGTAGCAGAGTAACCAAATTGGAGGAGAAAGTGGTGGGGATCTGACTTGGAACTGCTGGGTGGGACAAACAGATACTGCAGCTTAGGGCTTAAAATAGCACCTGAACTCAAGGAGTAGTCTTGAGGGCTGAAGCTCACAACCTGTAGGATCTAATGACACCTCTAGGTAGATAGTGTCAGAACGGAATTAAATTAGAGAACATCCAGCCGGCTGGTGTCCACTGCCACAGGGTTGGCTGCTTGTGGGGAAAATCCTCACACCTTTTTGAGGTTTCAGAAGTTTTCTTTGTTGCTTGTTGTGGTCTGAGAGCAGAGGAAAGACTTTTTCCAGTTTGGGGGCTGTGATGGGAAAGTTTAGAATAACTGGATTTGGGCCAGGGATTTAGCTCTGTGGTTCTGCCACCTGCCTTGCAAACGCAAGGTCCCAAGTTCAATCCCCGGTACCAAAAAAAAAGAAAAGGTATTTCTGGTAGAATAACTGGATTTATAATTTGGATTTACAGACTATATAATAAAATTTTCTGAATTGGAAGAAACGAGTTCAGTGAGTTCTGAGAATGAGTAAATGTGACAATGAATCTGTATGTTAGGTTGTAGATTCCAGTCTCTTTCCCTTTTTCACTAAAGGTTAATTTTTTACTGATGAGAGACTTAGCCAAAGAGCTCTAGTTTAAATTTGTGTCAAATGATCACTTAACGTATGGTCCTTTTGGGTTGTGGACCTATTTCTGCCAAAATAGGGACCTTATTTTGTGCTTAAGACAATCTACTTTTCTAGGAGATCCATTAATTGACCAAAATTGATCTCTAAGAAGCCTTTTCTGCAAGTAGTGATCTCTGAGGAAAAATTAAGCTTTGTTTCCTGAGGTAGTTTTTTTTTTTTCTTTAACTGCTTGTAAATGTTTAGAGGTTTTAAGATTTTTTGCGTAATGAGAAATTGTACTCAAGGGTAGTCAGTCATCTGGCAGTTTTTAGTCTGGTAATTTTCATAGTCATTGAGCCTGAACCTTCTGATGAATATAAAGTATATAACTTCAGGTACTGAATTACATTTAAATCAGAAGTTTAAAGTTGGAAAGGGGCCTCATTGACTATCTAATCCAACACACTTATTTTTATAAAAAAGAAAAAGTGCCTCAGGAGGAGAAGTGATTTTCTGTATGTTAAATTGCTAGTAAGTGGTGGAGACAGTTTTAGAATCCTAATATCCTAACTCCTAGTTTCCATTTGCTTCTACCATCATAATCCCCCTGGGTGTCACAGAATCCTGGAAACTGGTGCTTTACAGTGGGAAGATGGCCAGGACATAGCCAGGGACCTTGACTGACAAGGAATTGTTTCTTAAAATGGGGAGAAGGCATTTTGGGGGTCAAAAAGTTTAACACTGGCTCAGTCTAAGTCTAGTTATGGATGTGCTCCCTGCCCTAGATAGGATAATTTTAGGATTGAATAAATTTTCTGGGGCTTAGAGAGAAGAATAGGCATTTATTCCTCCCCCAGCCCTGCCCTTTTGTTGTGTAACTGGGAATTGATCTGCATGCATTTATGTTTCCATTGCAGGAATACTAGCTTGAAAAAGTTTATCCAGAATCAATCAGTTACTTCCTATTGACTTTAAGGATCAGATGGTGATCAGCTTTCAGAAAATGTGGCTGGAATTTAGTGTTATAGGGTGAATCAAGAGCAGTCTCAGGGTTGATTTTATGAACAGCTAATTAAATGTAGAATAGAAGTCTTGTTCCAGTAAGCTTTTTAATAAGCTTAGGAAAACTTCCTGAAATCCAGATTCTTTCCTTCCGTCAGCTTAATGGGAGGAAAAACCCTCCTTTGGTGAAGTTTCATGGGAATAGATGCTCTGGCAGTACACATGTAGTTTTCTGTTCTCCTGAGTAAAAATCAGTCACAGCTACTTCTCAGTGCAGTGTAGGAAGGTGCTCAGCCTCGTGTTTACAGCCTTGCTCTTAACTTACGTAGGGATTTATAGGCCACTTTTATGTATACCTGAAAAATTTTCACAGCACTCCGTGAAGGAGGAAAGTAGATGTTCTTACTATATTACAGATGAAGAAACCAGTTCTGTTTGTGACCCTGCAGAGTGGCAGAAAATGGCTCTCAGTCCTTTCACCATGTGATTTACTGGTGTGGTGTGGTATTGGTAATGGACAAACCTGAGTTCACATCTTGGCTAATCCTTCCCCCTTTTTCCCCCTAACATCTTTTAATTTTGGAATGATTTAGATTTGTGGAAAAGTTAAAAAGAAGGTACAGAGAGTTCTCATATTCTCCTCACCTACTTTCCCCCATTGTTAACATTACATATCACCATTGTGAAAACTAACATTGATACATGGCTATTTACTAAATTCCAGACTTTTATTAGATTTTGCTATTTTTTCTGTTGTCCTCTTTTAAATTCCAGGTACTATATCACATTATTATCATATCTCCCAAGTCTCCTTTGGTGTCTTTAGCTGTTTCTCTGTCTTTTCTTATTTTTGATGCGCTTGGCAGTCTTAGAGAGTACTACTAGTCAAGCATTTCAAAGAATGTCCCTCTGAGTTGAGTGATGTTTTTCTCAGGATTAGGCTAGTGTTACAGGATGTAGAAGAGTACTATGAAGGTCAAATGCCTTCTGGTCACTTGATATTGGGCCTCATGATATAAACATGAAACATTATTGATGATGTTAAACATCATTTGGTTATAATAGGGTTTGCCTGACTTCTGCATTGTGAAGTATTATTTCTTTTTCTTAAATCTATGCTTTGGAAGCAGATTTCCAAGTCTAGCCCATCCTAGCAGGGAGGACTAATCTACTTGATGGAGAAGGATGTATCCACATATATGTTTGGAATTCTCCTGTAAGAGAAATTTGTCTCTTTTGTCCTGTTTACCTTTCTATTTATAGTTATTTAACCATGTATTTGTCAGTATGGAGCCATGTTTATTTTAAACTTTAGATTATAATTCAGTACCGTGTTAATTTATTTTGTTGCCCAATTTGGTTTCATCATTGGCCATTGGAAACTATTTGAAGTTAGCTCCTGTGTTCCTTTGACATACCCTCATTCTTTTTGAGTATTTTCAAATTTGGTAACGAGATGCTTTATTACCCCCATACCTTAGTAGAGATTTATAAATTATTTTTTATAAATTTAACTTTTTAAAGCCTCAGCATCCATAAAGAGTAATGATATTTCTAACTCTTATTGGTTTGTTAATGAAAGACAACATATACAAAAGAGTGTTTAATCACCTGACACAGTAAATGCTAGTTCTCAAGTTCTTTGTAGACGTATTTTGGGGATCCAGTATCAGTATACTGTCCTGTCACGAAGGTTTTTTTTTTTTGGTAAGATTATAGAGGAATTATATTTGGTTTCCTCATATTGATAATGAAATGTAAGAAGGGATACTATTAGAGGCACTATTGATAATACAGTTGAGGTACATTGTAGAAAGCTACGGTATGTTTGTATCTTTGAAGTTTTCATTTCAAAGTTGTCTGCATTAACTAACATGTTTAGTCAAATCTCAAGTTTCAGTAATAATTTTCATTTACATATTTCCTATTTTGGGAGAGGCATTTGCATATACCCACATAATATGATCTTACCTCTGCTGGAACTTGCATACATAGGTTGAAAGTAAGTATAGACACTCTTATAAGCAGTTTGACAGTAATTTTATATCTACTAAATAAAGTTGGCACTTTAATTTTGCAAAAATTGGTCTCTGATCAGAGATTTTGTAAAAACTTGCTCTTCACTACCAACAGTGTGAGAAGTCCTGTGTGCACTGGGGAACAGTATAGTTGATCAGATAGCTTGCTTGTGGAACAATTCTGATAAACTCACTTTAAAAGTTAAAAAACAAAACATGATTTCTGACCCATTTCATGACCTCAGGAAATCTTTAAGTAGTTTGTGTTAGTTTGAACTTCTTGAGGACAACAGATAAACTTGTTTTCCCTGAATCCTGTGGCTTTGGGGACATGATTAAGCATCTGTTAAATTTATGCAGTACAGAAATCATTTTCCTCTGTAAATATTACCAGCGTAGGCGTATAACATTGAATTATTGCTTGCAGGACTTAAAAAAATACATGTCATGTCTCTTCTGTTCTCTGCAGTTTTGACATGGTTGTCATTAAGGAGAAATAAATTACTGTTAGTGTTTTTATTTCTTAGCTATTGAAGCCTGCCATATGGGTAATTTTGGCAAAGTATATTCTTTGCTTAATTAAGAATGGCTTAAAATTGTTTTTAGAAACTTCTTTTACATTCAAAATGATACTTATATAAACTAAGATTTGGAAGTACATGTTATTTCTTGTTTTGTATTCATTAAGTTTATTGATACATTTTAGATATGCAGTATGATGATGTTCATCATTGGGAATTTGTACTTTTACATGCTATATCTTGGTTCTTATTTTTTTCTCCATTCCTCTGCCTCTCCATTTCTCCACCCCTGCCTATTTACAAAAATTTTGTTTCTGTTTTTTCCGTTTCTCGTATTTGTTCCTTTCCCTTCTTTCCTGTACATGTTATTTCTAAGGTAATTTATTTCAGATTTTTAGGCTTTTGGGCATACTGTTTGTTTGCATATAATGCTGTTCTCTGTTACATCAAACATTTATTATAATTAAACCTTGAGACATAATAAGGAAGTTTCTGATTCTGGACATTTTAAGTACTTGAGCTGTAGAACAGATTCTCCAGCTAGCCTAGATATGCCAGTGTTCTGTTGATTGGAGGCAGGAGATATTTTAGATGGCCACTCGTATTCTCCCAGCTCTTTGATATTAGCCTGTTCTATGTATTTAAAAGAATGGTTTGACTTTAAAATGTAATTTTCTATTAGGAATTTATGCTATGCAGTATGGCTTAGAGGAACCATATGGAGTCACTTATGTCAGGTGTAGAACCATTTATCCTGTGTGCTGAGTTTTTGAATGTATGTATTTCCAGAATAGCTGCAATGGCAGCACGAACTGTTAACCTTCGGTGCCCACATAATCTGACCCCGTCCTGTCTTGTAGCTCTTTTCTGTGTCTTAGCCAGGAGGCCAGCTCTACATTACTAGCACTTTGTGTTACTACGAGAAGTAAGCAGGAAGGAGGCAGCAGCTCAGGGGTCTCTTCTCTTTTGTGACTCTGTATTGGGGCGGGGGGGGGACTGCTGTCGTTTGTGCTGAAGTCCAGCACGCTGCTATGCCGAACCCTGTTTTGCTGCCTGGGGACCAGAACGTGTTGCCTCTCAGATGAGGAGGCATTTCTTTTCCAAGAGCACTGCTCCCAGTAATAAAGGCTGTTGGATAAGAGGAGAAACAGCAGCTGTTCTTCTGTCTCTTGTGCAGCTGGAACTCTTACCACATCTGGTGGGGAATGTGACAGACCCCTTGGTGTCAGACTTGTTCCATGTGAACACGGCCACAGAGGAAGGTGCATAGAGGCAGCTGAGGCCAAGTGTGTGAGAAGTATGTTGAGCTAAGATCTGTGTTTCTCAGTCTCTCTGTCCTACCCTGGGCCATGTTTCTATTAGGTCATCATCACCAAAGCAGAAGTTGGAGGTAGTGAGACTGTTTCATTTGTCAGTGTAAATCAGCCTTGTATTTGTGTTGCAAGGACTTGGTCCACAGATCTATATGGTGAAGCATGGCAGTGATTTCTGTTGGATCTAGGTGGAAAGAAAAATACTAAGACTATTTCATTAGGTGTGTTGCAAAAAATAGTGTGCATATATTTCTATTTTAAAGAAGACCTTAGAAACAAAACCTTGAATGTATTTCCCTCAGCACTGTTTAACTTCCAAATGTGTATAATTTTCTTAGATTGATAAAGGAAGCTGGCAAACAAGACCCAGAGCTGGCTTATATCAGCAGCAACTTTATAACTGGACATGGTATTGGGAAGAATCAGCCTCGGAACAAACAGATGGAAGCAGAATTCAGAAAACAGGAAGAGGTAACATCAGTAACTGTATGGTGGCACTTGTCAGAACACACACAGATACACTTAGCCCACAGGGATTCCCCACTGTGTAGCTCACTCCCTGGCAGTTTCTTCTTTTGTAATATAGGGTACTTGTTTATGTGTAGACCACTATCCTATGAGGTGGCTGTGGTGATTTACATAATTCGAACTAGAGAAGCTCTCTGGTAAATCAGTTTTATGTCTTAATTGTCATCAGCTAGTTCATTCCCCTTTATTGGATTGGTGTCACACAACTACTGTACATCTCATAGAAACGTGAAACATGGGTGATGGTAACTCCTGCAGACTCTGTGTGGTTATGAAACAAGCTGACATCTTTTTCCCTAGAATATATTTTCTTTTTCATTTAAAGTCCTATCTGGGTTGAATATTTTTTGAAAAACTGTATTTTATAGATTTTAAGTTAAATTTTCTCATGATTTTTAATGTCTTATGTGTAGGAAGCATTAGAAAAATGCTGAAAGCTAGTTTAGTGTTCTGGCTTGCAAGTAAAACCTTTCATTAAAATTTGTTCTTTAACTTAAATTTAGCCGAATAATTTCTGCTAAAGACATTTTTGTTAAAACTTTTCGATAATAGTCCAGGTTTAGGGATTGCATAAGCCAGTCTTATAGATCTGTCTGAAAACCAGCTTATGTTATTTCTTAACTCACAAGGTATGATTGGAATATATGGTGAATGTTTAAACTTTTAAAAATTTATTATAGTAAAAGGCACACTGTTGTTAACTCCTTATAGTACTCTCCCTTCCTTTAAACGCACTATCCCATTGTTCTTGCCACTTGCCTAAGCAGCTCTAGAAGTCGTTTTCTTGTGTCATTAGTTGTGCAGTTGCGGCTCCCTCAATGTCCCGAATGGGTTCAAAACATTTACTCTTCATGGTCATTTTGACTTTGGGGAAGTGCCAGAAGTCACACGGTGCCAGATTGGGGAATAAAATGGATGACGACATTTTAATGTTTTTAGGAGTCTGCTTTTTCATTCCATGGCACTTGGCAACAGCATTTACTGTATTTTTTAGCCATACCTCAGACAGACAACCACAAAAGAGGACTTCCAGAAGTACTTCAGAAAATGGCAAGAATGATGGGATGAATGTGTTCAAAGTGAGGAGCAGGAGAATATTTTAAGGCATATTAATAGCAATGTGTCTTTTATTATAATTATTTTATTTTTTTGAGTCAAGGTTTCGCTATGCAGTTCAGGCTAGCCTTGAACTCACTATGTAGCCCCGGCTGGTCTCAAACTTGGAGTGATCCTCCTGCCTCAGTCTCTTAAGTGCTGGAATGATAAGCATATGCCACCTTGCCCAGCTATTATAATTATTTTAAAAAATTTTAACATTCACTATTTATTTCAGTCACCTTGTATCTTGGATTGGGGAGTGATGTGATTTTCAATCTCAAGTGAAAAAGCTTTCCCTTTATTTCAGTAATTCTGACTCCTTAAATTGAAAATTTTCGTAGGTGCTAAAAAATAAACAATGCTCTGCTTGTCATTTTTAATTCCAAGTGAATTGGAGATTTTAATGATAGAGTTTTGAAATGTTTGGAGGTCTGTTGGTTGGTAGGGTCTCAGAGGCATCCATTCTCATTCTGGAGGATCAGGGTATCAGTGGGACTTCAGAAGTGGATTCATTTGGATAGGTGGTTAGGTCTACTTCTGTTTGTTAAAGAAGCCAGCCCCTTCAACCTGAAGGCTTTCTGTGATTAGTGGCTTTGGTATTTCTGTAAAATAGGCATTTTGATTTTCCATTCATATTTAGTTGAAAATTCGTGTCATTAAATCACAGTTCCTGTGTTGATGTGGCTGTGCACTGGGGTTTCTGTGATACTGTCATCTTGTTTAGATTGACCATAGAGATCTAGTGTGCTCAGGGTATCTGTCAGAAATAACCATGGTTACTTATTTTTATATTCTTTTCTTTGGAAAATTTCTTAGAATTGCTTTTCTTGGTGGATTTTTTTTCAGGTACTCAGGAAGTTTCGAGCACATGAGACCAACCTGCTAATTGCAACAAGTATTGTAGAAGAAGGTGTTGATATACCGAAATGCAACTTGGTGGTTCGTTTTGATTTGCCCACAGAGTATCGATCCTATGTCCAGTCTAAAGGAAGAGCAAGGGCACCAATCTCTAATTACATAATGTTAGCAGATACAGACAAAATAAAAAGTTTTGAAGAAGACCTTAAAACCTACAAAGCTATTGAAAAGGTAAGATCAAAAAGTTAACTTAGTATCTTTGTTAGTCTTTGTGTACATAGAATATGAGGTGTGATGGAAACATCACAGAAAAAGACACATTACCATTAAATATCCCCCTCTTTGAAGACACTTATCCTGTCCTGGCTGCTTTCTGCAGCAGTTCTTTAAATTCTGCTTTGTGAGTGTCTTTAGTTGCACTGTTGTGGCTGCCTCAGCATTCTCAAATGATTTTAAATTGTTGCTTTTCGTGGTCATTTTGACTTTGGGGAAGAGCTAGAAGTCACGCAGGGCGAGATCCAGTGAGCAAGGTGGGCGAGTGCACTGTCATGTTTTTATAGGCCTACTTTCTGTTGGATGCCACTTTCTAGCTGCATTCTCTGTATTTTTGGTCACACCTCGTAAAAGATACAAGAGAAGACTCCTAGAACTGCTTCAGAAACTGGAAAGAACGAAGAGATAAATATTTTTGAAGTGAAGGAGGGGGTATTGTGAAGGGAATTAATGACAGTGTCTTTTACTGTAATGATTTTTTTTGGTAATGAATTTTTAAAAATGTAAACATTCATTGTATTTTTCAATCATATTTTGTTGATAAAAACAGTTTATTCACAGAGAAGTGTCTCGTCTTGACAGGGGTATGAAGTATGTATATTTTAAGGAAGTTGTGATCACCAAGACCTGGCACTGTTTTACAAGTGACTGGAAAGTCCCAGTAAACTAGCTGTGAACATGGTCATGTGGATCCCTGGGAAAGGGTGTCTGGGCAGGATTATGTTAAGTATGGACAGTGTAGAGACACTGAGTTGTGGAGAGAGAGACAAAATGCCATAGTAGCCTTCCTCAAGAATTACATGTATGTGTGATGCAGCGCAGCGTAGACCTACACTGAATGGTTAACATCTCCATGTGTTAGGGCTGGGAGGCATTCTGTGGGAAAAGTTTTTTGTAGCAAGTAATTGTGGAGTTTTGATAAATGTTTCAGAAAAATGGGTATGTCATGTCAAAAGAACTTTTTCTGTAGGTGCAGAGGCAGACAACTAACATGGCAAAGAAGACATTTGTTCTCATCCTCAGTTCTGTTTTAAAATGTTCAGATCTTGAGAAACAAATGTTCCAAGTCAGTTGATACTGGCGAGACTGACGTTGATTCTGTCGTGGATGATGATGATGTTTTCCCACCGTATGTGTTGAGGCCTGATGACGGGGGTCCCCGAGTTACAATCAACACGGCCATTGGACACATCAATAGGTATGCTATCAGATCATTTCTGTGGAAACCTGTGAATATCGCAAGATTTAAGTGTAATAAATCTGGAAGTATTATGTTGTTTACATTTTACAATCAAACAGCCTTTGCTTTTATGCCTTACAGTATTTTGATGAAAAAAAAAAGAAAAGCTTTTGTGATATTTTTTTTTCCCTTGCAAAAGCAAGATTGTTTAGTAATAAATGTTTAGGACTCTATCAACAAGGCTAATGCAATGACATGCTTCATTTAATTGGATTTAATTTAATTTTATAATGCTCATTTTTTTTACTGAATTATGGAATTTGTTATTTTGCACCAAAAATGTTGGGTAATACTGAATTTTCCATTAGTAATGAAGTGAGATTATTATAAATTAATTTGTACTTTTGAATATGTTTCAATTTACTTTTTCTGATAGTGACATTTCTAAGAATTAAAGAAAAGCAGATACAGAACTAAGAAAAGCAGGGACATAAACTGGATTATAAATCAAGATAAATTTCATTCAGATGCAAAATAAAGGAACCTGTGTAAGATTTTCTTCAGCCTTTTATTTTAAAACAATTTCAGAAATTAAAATGTTGCCAGAATACTGCAAAGAACACTCAGACACCCTTCCCCAGAGAGACCACTCAGGATTCACAAGAATGTTCTCTGTAGCGAAAGCATCCAGTCCAGGATCACGCACTGCACCCCTCTGTGGCATCTCCCCAGTCTCCTGTGGTCTTGCCCTGACTTTAATGGCCTTGAAACTTTTGGAGATCATTTTGTAGTCTGCCTTTCATTTTGAGCTCAGTGTATATATTTTGGTCAGCGTGCCACTGAAGTGCTGATGGGTTCCTCTTGTCCTGCTTTGTGTGCATACTGGTAGTGGTAACATTGATCACTTGATAAGATCGTCATTTTTATATATTGTAAAGTTACCTTTTATTTACCCTTTTGTAATTAGTAAATATTTCATGGGAAGATACTTTGAGACTACATGAAACTTACTCTTCTTCCTGGTAGATTCATTGGTATAATAGCCATTGGTACTCTTCTTTGAATTGATGGTAATTATGATGGCTACTAAATGGTGATTTTTTTCTAATTCCTGTTAGTTGGCATTCTACTGTTAAGGAAAAGGTTTTTCCTTTCCATTTATTTATTCTTACTGTTTTTTATCTCTGTGAATTTATAGATCTTGTTTTATTTCATTATAATGTTACTATCATTTATTACTTATTTCCATGTTAAAATTGTATCCTGTTTGCCCAGTGGGAACCCATTCAAGCTAGCTTTTCTGTCTTTTTAGCATGTCACCATTATTCTTGAAACCTTCGTTTTGTTGTGGCAGAAGACATTTTGAACTCAACTGGAATACATTCCTTGCCTCAGCCTTGACATTGGCAGTTTTTTCAAGGGGTCCTGGTTGCTCTTAGTGGAGAATAAGTTATGTATAGAAACCAATGCTAGTATATTACCACAGCCAGGCTTTTTAGTGGACAGAGCTACAAAGTTTATTTGTCACACATCTATACTTACTTTCATCCCCGTACACATTTCTGTCTGTAGTTGCTTCTGTGTCTGATTACCTGTATTTTGGTCCCACACACTTTAGTATGACATTAAGAGGTTCATTGTAGATTTGCTGTTTTATTTCTCTCTCTTTTCCTCTAATGAGAAGCCTGGTTCACCATCTTCAGAATAAGCACTGCGTGCTCTGTTTGCCGCTGTGTGCTGGTTTCCCTGTTCTGCAGGCCCCTGGTTGCCGTGCTGTCCCCTCACAGGGCTGCTGCCCATCCAGCTCCACCCCTCCCAGGCCTGGCTCTCCCTGGCTCGCTTCTTGATCCACACCGTTGCTCTTGTTCTGACAACCTGCGGCTGTCCTTCTGGCCTCTTGATGCTTCGCTTTACACATGTCCTGATGATTGTGGCAAGTGTGAAGTTATTAAGGCATAAACACTGGCAGTGTAGTCTTTTCATGGATTCAAAACAGTACTCTGCACTATGCAGTATGGTGACACTAGACACAGCTATTGAAATTGAATAGTCAGTGTAAGTTAAAAGGTTATTTTGGAGTCGGACATAGCAACTTCAAGTGCTCAGTTCTGTCTTACTGCAAGTTGGAAGCGGTGAAGTACATACTCCATGTACAATTGTCAATCTAGTGGAGGGGAAGAGAACATAAGAAACAAGCTTTAGGCTGTGAATATCAGTACAGATTTTTCCATCTTTTTCTCATGTGTAGATTCAGTCAGAATTTCTGTTTCTTTACAGATACTGTGCTAGGTTACCAAGCGATCCGTTTACTCATCTAGCTCCCAAGTGTAGAACCCAAGAGTTGCCGGATGGTACATTTTATTCAACTCTTTATCTGCCGATTAATTCACCTCTTCGAGCCTCCATTGTTGTAAGTTTAGAAAAAAAAGTGATTATACCTCTTGAAGTATGTCACTAATGGATTTGTTTTTCCTAGTTTCTCTTAGACATACAAGTTACAAATTTGATTTTAAAATCTATTTTTAAAACTATTTGTAAATCTCTTCTGTAGTCTATGTGTTCAAATTTTTAGTAGACTGTATAACTTATAGATTCCTAGAATTGGACTTAGATGACTTCTGAGTTTTCCTTATTAATGTGAACAATTTTGGTAGAATTATTGAGGTGTGATTTTAATGCCTAACAGCGAAAAAGTATTCATTAAATATAGTTGGGCTACTCTAGTTATGTTGTCAACTACTCAGAAATCTGCCTTTTGGGCTTGGGGTGTAGCTCAGTGGTATAGGTCTTGTCTAGCATGTGTGGAGCTCTTAGTCCAAACCCTAGTACTGCAAAATGTTAAAAAGATAAATAAAATAAAAAACAAGAATTTCCTTTTGTAAAATTTCATTTTTTTCCTTGATTTTAACACTGACTTGGAAATACTCTATGACTAATTCTATTGCACGCAGAAAGCAGCTTAGTACTATTAATCTTTGTTATAGTTATAATCTATCTTTTTTGTTATTTAAATTTATCAAAATTGTAAAATCGTAGTCATGACCTTATTTACAAGGCAGTGTTTTTAAAGATGGATATTTTGAATATAGGTATTAGGAATTTTAAAAACTTACTGACATTTTAAAAATAAATACCTTTGGGTAAAGTGAGCTTTAGAGATACTAGGGCACAGGTTCTGTGGGTGTTTCATGTGTCAGTGATAATACAGCATTGGAGATGCGATGGAAAAGTTTTTTTGTTGTTTTCAGGGCCCGCCAATGAGCTGTGTACGATTGGCTGAAAGAGTTGTAGCTCTCATTTGCTGTGAAAAACTGCACAAAATTGGTAAGTAAATGTGCTTGAGAAACATGTAAAAAATAAATTATAAATGTTGCTTTTAAAAAGTATGGGCTGGAGATTTAGCTCAGTGGTTTCGCCGCCTGCTGCGCAAGCGCAAGGATCCAAGTTCGATCCCCGGTACCAAAAAAAAAAAAAAAAAAAGTCATATTAAGGACTTTCCAGGTGTCTGAGGAGTTTGTAGGGCTGTGAACTTCTGCTCTTGGTGTGCTTGGTGAGTGTAAATGTAAATATTACATAACTCAAAGGCTCTGCAGTGTTGTGAGACCTCTTTATCCTCTGCAGCTTAAGTATAAACAACTGCCATTCATTTGCCTCCTTTAATGACCCTTTTTAAATGCTGTATATAAAGGTTTTAGGGCCAGGGATGGTGGCAGATGCCCATAATTCTAGCACTCAGGAGGCTAGGATGCAGGAGGATCACTATGAATTCCAGTGTAGCCTGGGCTACATAGTGAGTTTAAGGCCAGCCTAGACTACATAGTGAACCCCACCCCCTGCCCAAGAAAAAAGGAAAAAATTATTTAAGGAATACAATATTTGACTTAGTAAAAAAAATATATCATCTCGAGGTAAATACCTACTATTGTTATAATTGGGTGGGACCATACATGAATGAATGAACCAACAGGTAAACTACAGTAACTAACTTCTGATAACCATGGGATCATACATCATAAACATTTGTGTTTATTAGTTTCTCAGTATAAAACTTTCTCTTTTTTTTCTTTCCTTTCTTTCCTCCTTTTCCTTTGCTTTTCCTTCTTACTTATTGGGAGAACTTATTTTCCATGGACTTTTTGTTTAGTGTTGTATGCTGTCTGTAGTCTTTCTAGATGTTTTATTTTGAATCTGAGAACAAGATTTGCCATCCTGCTCCCTAGACTCTGCCTAAAGTTTCATGTCTGGTTACTGTGACATGACAAGTTTCTATTACTTTTCTGCTTGTTTCATAAACTAGTGCTGTTATTTACTTAGAATTAGAGTGGCAAAGTCTGGGTTATTTGCATTAACTCCCTTTCTAAACTTCTTAGGTGAACTGGATGAACATTTGATGCCAGTTGGGAAAGAGACTGTTAAATATGAAGAAGAGCTTGATTTACATGATGAAGAAGAGACCAATGTTCCAGGGAGACCAGGTTCCACAAAACGAAGGCAGTGCTACCCAAAAGCAGTTAGTATTGATTAGAAGTGAATAAAAATCTAGTTGTTTTATTTCCTGCTGCATCAAATCTAACTTCCTCTGTGTAGTTGTTTCCCAGATCCTTGTAATGCTATCCACTCTGTGGATCTCGGTGCATTTCCTTGATTCTCAGCTGCTCTCAGATTAGCCCCTTTCATTTTAGATGGTTTATATTCATTTTTGATGGTTTATATCATTCAAAGAGACATTCTTTGTTTGATTCAATTTAGTGGTGTGATTATTGCCTTACTTCCCATCGGCACTGAAACAAGAGGGAGGCAAGTGGAAGTGTTTTCTCAAGGTGGTGGTGCCTGGGAAGGTGGAAGCACAGATGTGAGTCACCAGTTTGGCCGAGGGCCACTAAGAGCTGAGGTTATTCAGTGGAATCCTAGCGGGGTTCACACTCTTAAACATTCCTGAAACTGACTTCTCGTTATACCTTATTTGACTGAAATATCAAATATTTGCTACTATAGTATTTTCATCTCATAAGAATCCCCCAAAAATAGGGAATTTTGCTGTGTATTTTGGTCTTAGCTATATGTATAGTTCTTTTGTGTTTGCAGTTGTTACTGAGTTTTTACACTTCAAAAATTATATCTAGCTAAGCATTTTCAAGACTCAAAATCATACTGGTTTTTCAAAAATCATGACTGTTAGCTACTTTTGTGTAATGCTTGTTTCCTTCATACCCAATTTTTCTATTGGGCTAGTTTCATATGATTAAGGCCGCTAATGATAAGTATTTTGAGAGGTACCATAGTGTAACTAATAGGCACGTTCTGTGTTATCTGTGGTCTCTTGGACAGTATTTCTATATCTTTTGACTACAGATGCAATGATTTATAACTGACTCTCAGAAACTGATAGATCTTAATCTGTAAAGTTGTGTTAATATTGAAAGCTTAGAAACAATCTGAGATAATTTAATTATGGCTCAATCATGTAATGAGATAGCCGTGAAATATGATGATATTGATTCAATGAGAGGTATTTCATTGTAACTGGGGATGAAAATCAGATTATTTTGCATGTGTGTACACACCAGTCTGTTGTATGAGTCTTTTTTATTGAAGAATATGAAAATGTTTATCTTTACAGGCATTTATACATAGAAAAAAGCTAAATAATGTAACTGATTGTGAAAGGTTGTCTTTTTTTTTTCATTAAGTTTATTGGTACATTTTAGGTATAAAATACAGTTACATTCATCATTGGGATCTTGTACCTTTACATGATGTATC